ATCCTTGACAAGAGAATGGGATTGAAAAGAACACGTCGGTGTTTTGCATCGACGTTTTGCATCGGAACAATGCATCCTCTCTCTACGCGAGAGTTTTCTACTACCCCGAAAACACTTCAGTGCTCCCGGCGTACTCGCCTTCGCCGCCAAACAGTAACTTCTTTCCTCCTCGGCAGACCTAGGAATCACCCGAAAGGACATTATTTTGAGACGATCGATAACATCCAGAACGCCGTAACCGAATCCTTCGAAGAAGAAAACTCGCGGTGCGAGTTCACTCCTGCAAGAGAAGAAGGAGTGGGGAATTTCGCGAGGAATTTCTTTTCGAGGAGACAATCGAAATTGCTTCGAGGTCAGAAATTCACGTGCATACATCAGAAACTGTCAAAGAAGATCCGAAAAACAGTTATTTTATTCATTTTTCTCTTCTTCCTTTTATTACTTTAGACGATATAAGTTTCGTAAGCGCTAAGAAATATTTAAATTTTTTACTTATTTTCTTTTTAAAAACTGAAAAGGTAGATAAAAATTGAAATAGATTAAAATTTGTTGGCGAACGTTTTCGATGTTATTATCTTTGCAGACAAAACTCGATTCCAGAAAAGTTCGTAGGAAGTGCGCCCACTTTCCGCCAATTTTCCAACACTCTGTGTGTACAACAGCTTTGGTGCATGGTCAAATTAAATTCGACATTTATTTAACTTTTAACTCGATGCGGTTTAGGTCGCACGCGAACGCGAGTACACGAACGCGGGCTTTCAATTAGCGTGCAAGCTCACGCGCGACCCGATGTTGCATTTGCGCTTCCGGATTCACGGTTTCCGGTGCTCGGTTTCCGACCGACGATCCCGGGCAGTTTTCTCGTTAAAAATTGCCGAATCAGAGAATACGTTTCAGTATGTAAACCGAACGATTTATTGAGTTTCTAATCCGCAGCTGTCGCTCTCGTTAAAACGTATAATAAAAGATTTTTTTAGCAATTCTCTCAAAGTTATATAATGAATATATTAAATTGACACTATATTTGCACATATAAATATATGTATGAATTATAGTTATAACTGATTATATTAATATGTCTCATTACTTTAGAGAATAAATCTAGATAATCTAAAACAAAAGAAGAATATTATATAAACTTAAAATTAAGATATACGTATATTAGTAAACGAAGTCACAGAATAACATTTTACGGACGTATTTTTTTGCGAATTTCGGATTGATTTTTATTCGAAAGTTTGATGGATTATTTTTATTCTTCGTAATATTTTCGAGTATATGAATCTTTAATATTTTACTGTATGCGAAACGTGCTGAAGTGTCCGCTAGAAAAAAAAAGCTGCCGGTTTTCGTTTTCTCGACGGCGTTGTCGACGTAATGTCGCTTTAACGGGTTGACACTTTTCAGAAGCAGCGTAATAAAGGAATTTTTGTCGCGGAGAAAAAGCGGGAAAGAATGGCCACTACCGAGCTAAGTAAGCTTGACCACTGCTTTCTGTTCCCGACGTGCAGTTACGAAGTTTTCGCTAGAATTCGTGCCACCTCGATCGACTTTCGATAGCGATAGCGAGGAACAAAGGAGAATCTCGATAAACTACAGCGACTGGGCTCGCCTAAGTGAAGTCTCATCTATGTGATAATGAACGATACGAATAAAATTGGGCGAATCTCCGTTGAATTGAGAATTCAATTGCAGTAAAAACGCGGACCTTTACGAACATTTCGTAATGTGAATTGCTTTTTCGCTTTCAAACGAATAGCTAGGAAATCGAGTAATTGACATGAAATATTTAAAAAACGCGGATAAAACACAAAATAGCCTACAGATATTTGACGACGTGATATAAAAGCTTTTGGAATTTGGAATAAACGTTACAAATACGAGACACAGTTAGAACGTACGAGCAATGAAATTGCGCAATCTCTTATTATTGTTGTATTATTATTATTATTATTATTATTATTATTATTATTATTATCCTTATTATTGTAATTATTATTACATGTATCACACGTCGATGAATACCAATTACGTTGTCCCGTAATAAATCGCGGATGTTTCAGCATCAACATGTAATTTGAAAAGATCACATTAATTATTACCACCGAATATTATGAGAAGTTTGACTGATTTCCAGTTAAAGTTCTCTTTCCTTTCATTTCATTTTCATCCTTTCCCTTTTACGTGATTCCAGAATGTTCCATTTCGAGCGTTTAATTGATATTGTAGTTGTCGCAGTTCCGAATGAATTGGGAGATTCTCTACTTTTTTTCTGGAGCCAGTCTATAATGCATATCTTTTGTCCGCAACCCTGTATCGCGGCCGCTATTGTTCCACAGCTTTCGCGCTTTAAAGTTTAAATTGCGAGCGAGCGGACGTTCAGCGTGGTGGATGAGCTTGATGGAGAAACGGGCCGTTCACGATTATACACGCGAAAGGTGGAAGCCAAATATTTGATGGACATCGTAACTTTCGGTTGAATTCGCAGCCACGCTGTGAAACAAAAATCGCCATTTTTCCCCCGCTGTTGCATGTCAAATTGCAAGTTACCGTTAGGCGAAATCGAAACTCTAAAATGTACAGTGGAATAATAATTCTATTTGACGGTTTTTTTTTTTTAAATTGGAATAGAATTTTGCAGAAATTCTGTCACCATAATTTTTAACGAGATTTCATATTATTATATTATTGTCGAGTTATATTATTGTCATTGAGCATGATTATTTATTTGTCTTTGATTATTTTTGGCATGCTTGTTATTTTTTAATTACGAAATTAATTCACTTTTTAAGGACACGAATATACGTGTATTGATTTTATTTTACGATAAATTTATATAGAGCTTTTTTTTAATAAAGTAAATTATTAAATATTTTGATAAATATATTTTTCCAAACATCGCACAAATGTTTTTATTTTATTATCGATAATTTCGAGGATAATTTTTACAATAAAAAATGCATTCCGAAATTTTACATAATCATAATAGTTCTGATTTTGTTACTACATGTTGCGCAATATTATATAGGAAAGGATTTTTCCTATCGATTCGACTCGAACGAGAGAGAGAGAGAGAGAGGGATTCGGGTCAAATCAATAACTTTCCTATAAACTCAAATGAGGCCCGTTCTTTGTCCTACGATTGATTCGTTTTCGTTAGTAGACTGCTAGTCAAGTAACGATGTCGGTTATAATGGGGTATTGATTAAAATAGCCACGTTACTCTAAGGCACGTTGAATTTTCGTTAAACTTACAGATCAAAGACGAATAGTGTACGATTACAAACCCATCGTGATTGTAAAAATAAAAAGAATCAAAAAAAGGAACTTGATTCCGGTTCTCTCGGCACTTTTCTGACGAAGCAATAAATTGCAGGTCTCTTTGTACGTCAATACGACGCATACTTTAATTCATCTTCGTTTAAATATCGTTCAAATTATACTAAATAAACCGTATACAGAGGTTATTCCTTTCGTGAAAGTATTAAAAAGAAAATCGATTTTTTTGTTTTATTTTCTTTTTTTATTGAAAAATAAGAGTATTGATAAAAGTATAAACTTCGATACTTATAGTTCTTCTAATTCTTCAAAAATAGGCTTACCGTGAATCAATGATCCCTGACAGAGTTGTCAATCTATACAGAATATTTCACTTTGCCTTCTCGTTTGTCGATGCTCCCTAAAAAGTTCCTTTTCAAGCTTAGAGTTCATTATACATCGATCCTCTGGAGTCCGGGCTCTTTACATTAATCCATTAGCATAATAGTATCACGGAGAGAATTTTCTTTTAAAATTTACCCTGAAAATATGATGATTGTGGTACA